GCACCAAACGATGTAGTGAATAGGAAGGTTATTTGGGCGTCGTTGATCACCAAACGATGTAGTGAATAGGAAGGTTTTTGGACGTCGTTGATCACCAAACGATGTGGTGAATAGGAAGGTTTTAGGACGTCGTTGATCACCAAACGATGTAGTGAATAGGAAGGATTTGGACGTCGTTGATCACCAAACTATGTGGTGAATAGGAAGGTTTTTTGGGCGTCGTTGAGCACCAAACGATGTAGTGAATAGGAAGGTTTTTGGACGTCATTGATCACCAAAAGATGTAGTGAATAGGAAGGTTTTTTGGACGTCGTTGATCACCAAACAATGTCGAGAATAGGAAGGATTTTGGACGTCGTTGATCACCAAACGATGTGGTGAATAGGAAGGTTTTTTGGTGTCGTTGAGCAGCAAACGATGTAGTGAAAAGCAAGGATTATCGTACGTCGTTGAGCACCCAACGATGTAGTGAATAGGAAGGTTTTTGGACGTCGTTGATCGCCAAACGATGTGGTGAATAGGAAGGTTTTTGGGGCGTCGTTGATCACAAAACGATGTGCTGAATAGGAAGGTTTTTGGACGTCGTTGCGCACCAAACGATTTAGTGAATAGGAAGGATTTGGGCTTCGTTGATCACCAAACGATGTGGTGAATAGGAAATTTTTTTGGGCGTCGTTGATCACCAAACGATGTGGTGAATAGGAAGGTTTTTTGGGCGACGTTGAGCACCAAACGATGTAGTGAAAAGGAAGGTTTTTCGTACGACGTTGAGCACCAAACGATGTGGTGAATAGGAAGGTTTTTTGTACGTCGCTGATCACCAAACGATGTGGTGAATAGGAAGGTTTTTTGGGCGTCGTTGATCCCCAAACGATGTGGTTAATAGGAAGGTTTTTTGGGTGTCGTTGATCACCAAACGATGTAGTGAATAGGAAGGTTTGTTTGGCGTTGTTGATCACCAAACGATGGTGAATAGGAAGGTTTTTTGGCGTCGTTGATCACCAAACGAAATAGGAAGGTTTTTGGGCGTCGTTGATCACCAAACGATGGTGAATAGGAAGGTTTGTTGGGCGTCGTTGATCACCAAACGATGTGGGGAATAGGAAGGTTTTTTGGGTGTCGTTGATCACCAAACGATGTGGTGAATAGGAAGGTTTTTGGGCGTCGTTGATCACCAAACGATGGGTAAATAGGAAGGATTTTGGGGCGTCGTTGAGCACCAAACGGTGTAGTGAATAGGAACGTTTTTCGACGTTGTTGATCACCAAACGATGTAGTGAATATGAAGGATTTTGGGGCGTCCTTGATCACCAAACGATGTGGTGAATAGGAAAGTTTTTTGGGCGTCGTTGATCACCAAACGATGTGGTGAATAGGAAGGTTTTTTGGCCGTCGTTGATCACCATACGATGTGGTTAATAGGAAGGTTTTTTGGGTGTCGTTGATCACCAAACGATGTAGTGAATAGGAAGTTTTTGACGTGGTTGATCACCAAACGATGTGGTGAATAGGAAGGTTTTTGGACGTCGTTGATCCCCAAACGATATGGTGAATAGGAAGGTTTTTTGGGCGTCGTTGATCGCAAAACGATGTGATGAAAAGGAAGGTTTTTTGGGCGTCGTTGATCACCAAACGATGTGGTAAATAGGATGGTTTTTTGGGCGTCGTTGATCACCAAACGATGTGGTAAATAGGAAGATTTTTTGGGCGTCGTTGATCACCAAACTATGTAGTGAATAGGTAGGTTTTTGGACTCGTTGAGCACCAAACGATGTAGTGAATAGGAAGGTTTGTTCGGCGTCGTTGAGCACCAAACGGTGTAGTGAATAGGAAGGTTTGTTCGGCGTCGTTGATCACCAAACGATGTGGTGAATAGGAAGGTTTTTGGGCGTCATTGATCACCAAACGATGTGGTGAATAGGAAGGTTTGTTGGGCCCTCGTTGTTCACCAAACGATGTGGTGAATAGGAAGGTTTTTTGCGTCGTTGATCACCAAACGATGTGGTGAATAGGAAGGTTTTTGCGTCGTTGATCACCAAACGATGTGGTAAATAGGGAAGGTTTTTGGGCGTCGTTGATCACCAAACGGTGTAGTGAATAGGAACGTTTTTTGACGTCGTTGATCACCAAACGATGGGTGAATAGGAAGGTTTTGGACGTCGTTGATTACCAAACGATGTAGTGAATAGGAAGGTTTTTGGACGTCGTTGATCACCAAACGATGTGCTGGATAGAAAGGTTTTTTGGGCGTCGTTGATCACCAAATGATGTGGTAAATGGGAAGGTTTTTTGGGTGCCGTTGAGCACCAAACGATGTACTGAAAAGGAAGGTTTTTCGTACGCCGTTGAGTACCAAACGCTGTGGTGAATAGGAAGGTTTTTTTGTACATCGTTGATTACCAAACGATGTGGTGAATAGTAAGGTTTTTTGTACGTCGTTGATTGCCAAACGATGTAGTGGATAGGAAGGTCTTTTGTACGTCGTTATGCATCAAACGATGTACTGAATAGGAAGGTTTTTTGGGCGGCGTTGATCACCAAACGATGTGGTGAATAGGAAGGTTTGTTGGGCGTCGTTGATCACCAAACGATGTGGTGAATAGGAAGGTTTTTTGGGCGTCGTTGATCACCAAACGATGTGGTGAATAGGAAGGTTTGTTGGGCGTCGTTGATCACCCAACGATGTGGTGAATAGGAAGGTTTTTTGGGCGTCGTTGATCACCAAACGATGTGGTAAATAGGAAGGATTTTGGGGCGTCGTTGAGCACCAAACGGTGTAGTGAATAGGAACTTGTTTGGACGTTGTTGATCACCAAACGATGTAGTGAATAGGAAGGATTTTTGGGCGTCGTTGATCACCAAAGGATGTAGTGAATAGGAAGGTTTTTGGACGTCGTTGATCCCCAAACGATGTGGTGAATAGGAAGGTTTTTGGACGTCGTTGATCACCAAACGATGTGGTGAAAAGGAAGGTTTTGGACGTCGTTGATCACCACACGATGTGGTGGATAGGAAGTTTTTGGGTCGTTGTTGATCAAAACGATGTGGTGAATAGGAAGGTTTTTGGGTGTCGTTGAGCACCGAACGATGTAGTGAAAAGGAAGGTTTTTCGTAAGAAGTTGAGCACAAAACGATGTGGTGAATACGAAGGTTTTTTGTACGTCGTTGATCACCAAACGATGTGGTGAATAGGAAGGTTTTTTGGGCGTCGTTGATCACCAAACGATGTGGTAAATAGGAAGGTGTTTTGGGCGTAGTTGATCACCAAACGATGTGGTAAATAGGAAGATTTTTTGGGCGTCGTTGATCACCAAACTATGTAGTGAATAGGTAGGTTTTTGGACTCGTTGAGCACCAAACGATGTAGTGAATAGGAAGGTTTGTTCGGCGTCGTTGAGCACCAAACGCTGTAGTGAATAGGAAGGTTTGTTCGGCGTCGTTGATCACCAAACGATGTGGTGAATAGGAAGGTGTTTTGGGCGTCGTTGATCACCAAACGATGTGGTGAATAGGAAGGTTTGTTGGGCCTTGTTGGTCACCAAACGATGTGGTGAATAGGAAGGTTTTTTGGGTGTCGTTGATCACCAAACGATGTGGTGAATAGGAAGGTTTTTTAAGCGTCGTTGATCAACAAACGATGTGGTAAATAGGAAGGTTTTTTGGGCGTCGTTGATCACCAAACGGTGTAGTGAATAGGAACGTATTTGGACGTCGTTGATCACCAAACGATGTGGTGAATAGGAATGTTTTTGGACGTCGTTGATTGCCAAACGATGTAGTGAATAGGAAGGTTTTTGGACGTCGTTGATCACCAAACGATGTGCTGGATAGAAAGGTTTTTTGGGCGTCGTTGATCACCAAACGATGTGGTGAATAGGAAGGTTTTTTGTGTGCCGTTGAGCACCATACGATGTAGTGAAAAGGAAGGTTTTTCGTACGCCGTTGAGCACCAAACACTGTGCTGAATAGGAAGGTTTTTTTGTACGTCGTTGATTACCAAACGATGTGGTGAATAGTAAGGTTTTTTGGACGTCGTTGATCACCAAACGATGTGGTTAATAGGAAGGTTTTTTGTACGTCGTTGATTACCAAACGATGTAGTGGATAGGAAGGTCTTTTGTACGTCGTTGAGCATCAAATGATGTACTGAATAGGAAGGTTATTTGGGCGTCGTTGATCAACAAACGATGTAGTGAATAGGAAGGTTTTTTGGGCGTCGTTGATCACCAAACGAAGTGGTGAATAGGAAGATTTTTGGACGTCGTTTATCACCAAACGGTGTAGTGAATAGGAAGGTTTTTTGGGCGTCGTTGATCACCAAACGGTGTGGTGAATAGGAATGTTTTTTGGGCGTCGTTGATCACCAAACGATGTGGTGAATAGGATGGTTTTTTTCCGTCGTTGAGCACCAAACGATGTAGTGAATAGGAAGGTTTTTTCGTACGTCATGAGCACCAAACTATGTAGTGAATAGGAAGGTTTTTTGGGCGTCGTTGATCTCCAAACGATGTAGTGAATAAGAAGGATTTTTGTACGTCGTTGATCACCAAACAATGTGGTGAATAGGAAGGTTTTTATGGCGTCGTTGATCACCAAACGATGTAGTGAATAGGAAGGTTTTTTGGGCGTCGTTGAGCACCAAACGATGTAGTGCATAGGAACGTTTTTTGGGCGTCGTTGACCACCAAACGATGTGGTGAATAGGAAGGATTTTTGGGCGTCGTTGATCACCAAACGATGTGGTGAATAGGAAGGTTTTTTGGGCGTCGTTGATCACCAAACGATGTAGTGAATAGGAAGGTTTTTGGACGTCGTTGATCACCAAACGATGTGGTGAATAGGAAGGTTTGTTGGGCGTCGTTGATCACCCAACGATGTGGTGAATAGGAAGGTTTTTGGGCGTCGTTGATCACCAAACGATGTGGTAAATAGGAAGGATTTTGGGGCGTCGTTGAGCACCAAACGGTTTAGTGAATAGGAACTTGTTTGGACGTTGTTGATCACCAAACGATGTAGTGAATATGAAGGATTTTGGGGCGTCGTTGATCACCAAACGATGTGGTGAATAGGAAAGTTTTTTGGGCGTCGTTCATCACCAGAGGATGTAGTGAATAGGAAGGTTTTTGGACGTCGTTGATCCCCAAACGATGTGGTGAATAGGAAGGTTTTTGGACGTCGTTGATCACCAAACGATGTAGTGAATGGGAAGGTTTTCGGACATAGTTGATCACCAAACGATGTGGTGAATAGGAAGGTTTTGGACGTCGTTGATCACCAAACGATGTGGTGGATAGGAAGGTTTTTTGGGCGTCGTTGATCACCAAACGATGTGGTGAATAGGAAGGTTTTTTGGGTGTCGTTGAGCAGCGAACGATGTAGTGAAAAGGAATGTTTTTCGTACGAAGTTGAGCACAAAACGATGCGGTGAATACGAAGGTTTTTTGTACGTCGTTGATCACCAAACGATGTGGTGAATAGGAAGGTTTTTTGGGCATCGTTGATCACCAAACGATGTGGTAAATAGGAAGGTGTTTTGGGCGTCGTTGATCACCAAACGATGTGGTAAATAGGAAGATTTTTTGGGCGTCGTTGATCACCAAACTATGTAGTGAATAGGTAGGTTTTTGGACTCGTTGAGCACCAAACGATGTAGTGAATAGGAAGGTTTGTTCGGCGTCGTTGAGCACCAAACGGTGTAGTGAATAGGAAGGTTTGTTCGGCGTCGTTGATCACCAAACGATGTGGTGAATAGGAAGGTTTTTTGGGCGTCGTTGATCACCAAACGATGTGGTGAATAGGAAGGTTTGTTGGGCCTCGTTGATCACCAAACGATGTGGTGAATAGGAAGGTTTTTTGTGTGTCGTTGATCACCAAACGATGTGGTGAATAGGAAGGTTTTTTAAGCGTCGTTGATCAAAAACCGATGTGGTAAATAGGAAGGTTTTTTGGGCGTCGTTGATCACCAAACGGTGTAGTGAATAGGAACGTTTTTGGACGTCGTTGATCACCAAACGATGTGGTGAATAGGAATGTTTTTGGACGTCGTTGATTACCAAACGATGTAGTGAATAGGAAGGTTTTTGGACGTCGTTGATCACCAAACGATGTGCTGGATAGAAAGGTTTTTTGGGCGTCGTTGATCACCAAACGATGTGGTGAATAGGAAGGTTTTTTGGGTGCCGTTGAGCACCAAACGATGTGGTGAATAGGAAGATTTTTGGACGTCGTTTATCACCAAACGGTGTAGTGAATAGGAAGGTTTTTTGGGCGTCGTTGATCACCAAACGGTGTGGTGAATAGGAAGGTTTTTTGGGCGTCGTTGATCCCCAAACGATGTGGTGAATAGGAAGATTTTTGGACGTCGTTTATCACCAAACAGTGTAGTGAATAGGAAGGTTTTTTGGGCGTCGTTGATCACCAAACGGTGTGGTGAATAGGAATGTTTTTTGGGCGTCGTTGATCACCAAACGATGTGGTGAATAGGAAGGTTTTTTGGGCGTCGTTGATCTCCAATCGATGTGGTAAATAGGAATGTTTTTGGGGCGTCGTTGATCACCAAACGATGTAGTGAATAGGAACGTTTTGGGACGTCGTTGAGCACCAAACGATGTGGTGAATAGGAAGGTTTTTGGACGTCGTTGATCACCAAATGATGTAGTGAATAGGAAGGTTTTGGACGTCGTTGATCACCAAACGATGTGGTGAATAGGAAGGTTTGTTGGGCGTCGTGGGTTCACCAAACGATGTGGTGAATATGAAGGTTTTTTGGGCGTCGTTGATCACCAAACTATGTGGTGAATAGGAAGGTTTTTTGGGCGTCGTTGATCACCAAACGATGTGGTAAATAGGCTGTTTTTTTGGGCGTTGTTGATCCCCAAACGATGTAGTGAATAAGAACGTTTTTGGACGTCGTTGAGCACCAAACGTTGTGGTGAATACGAAGTTTGTTTGGGCGTTGTTGATCACCAAACGATGTGGTGAATAGGAAGTTTTATGGGCGTCGCTGATCACCAAACGATGTAGTGAAGAGGAACGTTTTTTGGGCGTCGTTGATCACCAAACGATGTAGTGAATAAGAAGGATTTTTGTACGTCGTTGATCACCAAACGATGTGGTGAATAGGATGGTTTTTGGGCGTCCTTGATCACCAAACGATGTGGTGAATAGGAAGCTTTATTGGGCGTCGTTGATCCCCAAACGATGTAGTGAATAGGAAGGTTTTTTGGGCGTCGTTGATCTCCAAACGATGTGGTAAATAGGAAAGTTATTTGGGCGACGTTGAGCACCAAACGATGTAGTGAAAAGGAAGGTTTTTCGTTCGACGTTGAGCACCAAACTATGTGGTGAATAGGAATGTATTTTATACATTGTTGATCACCAAACGATGTGGTGAATAGGAAGGTTTTTGGCGTCGTTGATCACCAAACGATGTAGTGAATAGGAAGGTTTGTTCGGCGTCGTTGAGCACCAAACGGTGTAGTGAATAGGAAGGTTTGTTCGGCGTCGTTGATCACCAAACGATGTGCTGAATAGGAAGGTTTTTTGGGTGTCGTTGATCACCAAACGGTGTAGTGAATAGGAACGTTTTTGGACGTCGTTGATCACCAAACGATGTGGTAAATAGGAATGTTTTTGGACGTTGTTGATTACAAAACGATGTAGTGAATAGGAAGGTTTTTGGACGTCGTTGATCACCAAACGTTGTGGTGGATAGGAAGGTTTTTTGGGCGTCGTTGATCACCAAACGATGTGGTGAATAGGAAGGTTTTTTGTACGTCGTTGATTACCAAACGATGTAGTGGATAGGAAGGTCTTTTGTACGTCGTTAAGCATCAAACGATGTACTGAATAGGAAGGTTTTTTGGGCGTCGTTGATCACCAAACGATGTAGTGAAAAGGAAGGTTTTTTGTACGTCGTTGAGCACCAAACGATGTAGTGAAAAGGAAGGTTTTTCGTACGCCGTTGAGCACCAAACGCTGTGGTGAATAGGAAGGTTTTTTGTACGTCGTTGATCACCAAACGATGTGGTAAATAGTAAGGTTTTTTGGACGTCGTTGATCACCAAACGATGTGGTTAATAGGAAGGTTTTTTGTACGTCGTTGATTACCAAACGATGTAGTGGATAGGAAGGTCTTTTGTACGTCGTTGAGCATCAAACGATGTACTGAATAGGAAGGTTTTTTAGGCGTCGTTGATCACCAAACGATGTAGTGAAAAGGAAGGTTTTTTGTACGTCGTTGAGCACCAAACGATGTAGTGAATACGAAGCTTTTTGGGGCGTCGTTGGGCACCAAACGATGTGGTGAATAGGAAGGTTTTTTGGGCGTCGTTGAGCACCAAACGATGTAGTGAATTGGAAGGTTTTTTGGGCGTCGTTGATCACCAAACGATGTGTTGAATAGGAATGTTTTTGGACGTCGTTTATCACCCAACGATATAGTGAATAGGAATGTTTTTTGGGCGTCGTTGATCACCAAACGATGTGGTGAATAGGAATGTTTTTTGGGTGTCGTTGATCACCAAACGATGTGGTGAATAGGAAGGTTTTTTTTACGTCGTTGAGCACCAAACGATGTAGTGAATAGGAAGGTTTTTTGTACGTCGCGAGCACCAAACTATGTAGTGAATAGGAAGGTTTTTAAGCGTCGTTGATCACCAAACGATGTGGTGAATAGGAAGGTTTTTGGGCGTCGTTGGTCACAAACGATGTAGTGAATAGGAAGGTTTTTGGACGTCGTTGATCACCAAACGATATGGGGAATAGGAAGGTTTTTGGACATCGTTGATCACCAAACGATGTAGTGAATAGGAAGGTTTTTGGACGTCGTTGATCACCAAACGATGTGGTGAAGAGGAAGGCTTTTGGACGTCGTTGATCACCAAACGATGTAGTGAAAAGGAAGGTTTTTTGTATGTCGTTGATCACCAAACGATGTGGTGAATAGGAAGGTTTTTGGACGTCGTTGATCACCAAACGATGTGGTGAATAGGAAGGTTTTTGGACGTCGTTGATCACCAAACGATGTGGTGAAGAGGAAGGTTTTTGGACGTCGTTGAGCACCAAACGATGTCGTGAATAGGAAGGTTTTTGGGCGTCTTGAGCACCAAACGATGTAGTGAATAGGAAGGTTTGTTCGGCGTCGTTGAGCACCAAACGGTGTAGTGAATAGGAAGGTTTGTTCGGCGTCGTTGATCACCAAACGATGTGGTGAATAGGAAGGTTTTTTGGGCGTCGTTGATCACCAAACGATGTGGTGAATAGGGAAGGTTTGTTGGGCCTCGTTGATCACCAAACGATGTGGTGAATAGGAAGGTTTTTTGGGTGTCGTTGATCACCAAACGATGTGGTAAATAGGAAGGTTTTTTGGGTGTCGTTGATCACCAAACGGTGTAGTGAATAGGAACGTTTTTGGACGTCGTTGATCACCAAACGATGTGGTGAATAGCAATGTTTTTGGACGTTGTTGATTACCAAACGATGTAGTGAATAGGAAGGTTTTTGGACGTCGTTGATCACCAAACGTTGTGGTGGATAGGAAGGTTTTTTGGGCGTCGTTGATCACCAAACGATGTGGTGAATAGGAAGGTTTTTTGGGTGCCGTTGAGCACCAAACGATGTAGTGAAAAGGAAGGTTTTTCGTACGCCGTTGAGCACCAAACGCTGTGGTGAATAGGAAGGTTTTTTGTACGTCGTTGATCACCAAACGATGTGGTGAATAGTAAGGTTTTTGGACGTCGTTGATCACCAAACGATGTGGTTAATAGGAAGGTTTTTGTACGTCGTTGATTACCAAACGATGTAGTGGATAGAAGGTCTTTTATTGTACGTCGTTGAGCATCAAACGATGTACTGAATAGGAAGGTTTTTTGGGCGTCGTTGATCACCAAACGATGTAGTGAAAAGGAAGGTTTTTGTACGCCGTTGAGCACCAAACGATGTAGTGAATACGAAGCTTTTTTGGGCGTCGTTGGGCGCCAAACGATGTGGTGAATAGGAAGGTTTTGGGCGTCGAGCACCAAACGATGTAGTGAATTGAAAGTTTTTGGGCGTCGTTGATCACCAAACGATGTGTTGAATAGGAATGTTTTGGACGTCGTTTATCACCCAACGATGTAGTGAATAGGAAGGTTTTTTGGGCGTCGTTGATCACCAAACGATGTGGTGAATAGGAATGTTTTTTGGCTGTCGTTGATCACCAAACGATGTGGTGAATAGGAAGGTTTTTTTTACGTCGTTGAGCACCAAACGATGTAGTGAATAGGAAGGTTTTTTGTACGTCATGAGCACCAAACTATGTAGTGAATAGGAAGGTTTTTTGGGCGTCGTTGATCACCAAACGATGTGGTGAATAGGAAGGTTTTTTGGGCGTCGTTGATCACCAAACGATGTAGTGAATAGGAAGGTTTTTGGACGTCGTTGATCACCAAACGATATGGTGAATAGGAAGGTTTTTGGACATCGTTGCTCACCAAACGATGTAGTGAATAGGAAG